TTAATTAAAAATTTACTAAATGCTAGTTGATTATCCCACAGGGAAAGGAATGTGAAATTTGAAATTCCTCCGTTAACGGGCATGTAGTAATATAATGTTCAGGTATGCCTAGAGTTCCGCAGACACAATATTCACTATTTGCAATTCCATGCTTGTAAAAGTAGCTTGGAAATGGACCATGCCCCGAGATATATCTTACTAGTTGATGATTTGTTATCTGACGACATTGATCCACATACGTAATATGATTGTACGTTCGTCGACCGGTTTTCATCAGTATCCCATTCTAGTTGCCATTGGGGATATAACTTTTAAAAGAAGAGCTCGTTTTAAGTGTGAGATGTTGGCCACTTAAGAATCACTTCTTCACTTCTTCAGCCTCGGCATCGGTATTTTCGGCAGCTGATTTGGCTAACTTATCTGCCAAAGTATTACCGTGATCCCCAGCATGGGCCCTTAGTCCAAGCTAGCGTGATGTTTATTTCCAACTTGATTACGAAGTTCACATTGGATGTCCGAGATAAGCGAAAAAGAATGTCTGGGGTTTTGAATCGCTGGAAGCGACGAAAGACTATCAGTGATAATTATTGCCTCCATAGCACCACTTGTTTTACAGTGTTGAAACTGCTTTGAGGATGGCTAGGGCCTCCGCTTGAAATACACTATTATTTCCATGGAGATGACCCAGCCACTGATAATTGATTGACTGACCATTATGAAAGGCTACAAGGGCACAGCCTGTCTGTTGATCTATTTAGATCCATCAGTGTAATATTGAATGCTTGGGATAGGTGGCAGTGTTACGTCCTTAAGGAAATCCGAAGTCCTGTTTTTCTTGAAGGACTGGATGCACATCCAAATGTTGTGAGGGTTGTTCTTTGTGCAATGGTGTGAAAAGTTCATCAAATAGGATGAAAGGTTTTTTCAAAAACCTTGACGGATTGTTATTGCTGCTTCCTGCAGAATACGTAGATGAAGAGGGATCAGTCCCGCCATGACATTTAATGCACTGGATGAGGTAGTACGAAACGCCCTAGTTATCTGTAAGGCAATTGACGCTGGAGACTTGCAAGTGGCGCACTTTGCGACCCTGCATGGGTTTCAGCACTATAGCAGCAGCCGCATAGGTGACCATTCTCTCGATAACGGTGAGATAAAGAACCTTTTGTATATAGGGACTAATTCCCTATCCACGACTCTGCATTTGACGCAATTTACATGCAATTATAACAGTTCGTCTCTTTAGTTCCAAAACATGCGGCATCCAGTTCAGTTTTCTCGTCAAAGATAACGCCGAGAAATTTGAGCTGCGGTTTGATAGGTATACGTGTACCATGAATGGTGATTCGAGGCCGTCGAACCCAAAGATCCTCCTTTTTTAGGGATTAATAAAATTTGCGATTTTTGGTTCGGAAATTGTTAATTTATTCTAGAACATAAGTTATAAAAGAGATCACAGGTTTCAATAGCATTTCTTTGCAAGTCTTCTCAAGTTCGTCCTTGAATGATAAAAACTGTATCATCTGCATACGCATATGCCCGGGTATGTGCTGGCCAGTTTGCGGCAATAACAGAATTAAATGTTATATTCCATAAATCAGGGCCAGCACAAGAACCCTGCGGACATTTTGTGCCTTTAGTAAATCTGCAAGCAATATTTGCACAATTATCAACAATTTAAAAGCTGTTTAAGTGCAGTTAAGCCTCATTTTTAAATAACTTGGCGGACATATCTGTTTATATTTGAAACAGCAGAATAGTAGATTTGTTGCCAATCTAGAGAGACTAAGCTTCCGCAACAACAAGATAACGCCTTTTTTATTATTGCGAAATTAAATCATGCTTGATTCATTCTGGAATTTATTCGAGAAAATATGTGTTTAAGATTTACTTCGTAAATGTTTAATAATAAGATATTTTGAGTTTTATGTATTTTTGCCTTGGCGGGAAGTGAGAACTGAATTAACTAAATGAGAATTAGTGAATCGTCTGTGAAAACCTTTCTTTTTTGTTTTGTTTGCTTAATTTTCTTTATACATCGTTTTAGATTTATTAAAGTATTTGAATGGAACATGTGGCAACGATTAGATAATTCTCCAGATGATATAAATTTTGTGCATTCTGGATATAATATAAACGAAATATAACGCTGTTAAGTGAACCTAGCGCCAGTGTCCCTCTGGTAAACAAATATAGTGAAACTTAAAGAGTGCATTTATTCTATTGTGGTTTCTGCTCTCTCGACGAAGTAGATTTAATTCAATCAAATAATTTTAAATGAAATAAAAAAACGCGGATAATTTAATATTCCATACAAGGAAGTCATGTGGTGTATTGGTGTACTCATCAGATTTTTTAATGAAGTGGGAGATTCGTTGTGATTAAGTGAAAAATGTATAACATATCAATAACGTATATTTTTACTGCACACATTTTTGATTGTCTGGCCATCCTTGCTGAATTCGTTAAAATTGGCTCTTGCTAAAGAGACTGAACCTCTATGATGATAACATTTTGCAAATTGCCAGTGCTGTAATCTTCAGCCATGGCACTATTTGAATAGGCTTTATCACAGATTCGAAAGCAACAAAAACAGCATGTATTTTTTGCATTTTCCATGCTTGTTTTAGTTCTGAAATATTCTCCAGTTTTTAGTTTAGACGAGGTGTATAAGAATTTCAAAATAAAAGTATAATTTTTTTTTCAAGATTTTATTTCGTTGGTGAGTGGTAGTATATAAATAACTAAATAAGACGTTTCACAGATTTTCAACGCTTATATTAAAAGTTTTCTGCATGTTATAAAGCATTTAAGATGTTCAGCATGTTACTAACAGAAAATATTAAAAATAAAATGTTTCATCCATTGAAAAATCCGCAGTTCATCGAATTATGTCTAACAACAAACGAAATTCATCAGAAAGGATTTGGGAAAGAGGATTTTCGTTTACAATTTAATATATTTAAATATTATAACATGTTTAATTTTTAAAAAATAAATAAAACCGAACATTTAATTCCGCTTACAGCGTGAAAATTTTCCTTGAATGAAAAAGAAAAGAACTGAAAGTAATGATGCCACTTCCGCTTTCGGTTTGAAAGAAACCAATTTTCATTCGCTAGTAAAAAATTTTATTCTTTTATAGGGGTAGAATCTTGACTGTAATATTTTGTAAATTTTTATTACTTATCAAAGCGGTTTAAATAAATGATAAAGCGACTACAATAGGATTAATGTTACGAAATTATGTGCATGTATAAATAATTTTAGGGAAGTTATAAGGTATTTTCTCCTTGCTTTCTTCATGTCTTCGTAGTGTAACTGTAGCACACTCGACGGGTATTCAAGAAGTCGAGATTTGAGTCTCGGTGATGGCCATGCGGATTTCTTCGATTTCCTTGTATCAAAAAACTCTAAGTGACTCTACAGTGGCGCCCGAACCAAAAAGGTATTGCGTGATAATTCTTCACCACCAGGATTTCGCCAGTGGGTTCCCTAATCCTCTATCGCTGTTGAAAAGGGGGGTATATAAGGAATTTTCTCCCTCCTTTTTCATGCCTTCGACGAGTGACTGGAAGCAAGTCCGACGAAACTGTGGTACCTATTGTATAATGAAACATGGAAATTTGAAGAGAAAGAAATATAAATAGAATGATTTTCTGGCGCTCTGCCATAAAAATGCGATTACAGAGGCATGGCTATCTCGTTAAATTAGCAAAGATATCGCCAAGCTGATGGTGGTTTGGGCGACTTATTTTTGTCGCGACATTTTGGCCCAGCACCTCTGTAACTGTAATTGGTACTTTGACTGAATAACTGTAGTTGATTCCTATGCGTAACTGTAACGGTATGCAGCCCTTGTATGTAAGTTTAAGCAGTATATACCTTCCAGTAATTTCGAGAAATTGAAGGTACTAGAGATTTTATGGCAGCCGAGGGAAAACAACACAGGACTGGAGAAAGCATCACATCAGTTTCTCACTTCCAGAATCGACTGCAGGGCACTGAGATATCTCCGCTCTTGCATTCGCTCTTGCATTGTATTAAGTTTAATGTTCTTAGCAGTTTGATGTATAAGTGTTGACTGAGCTCTGTGCTACTGAGAAGAGCTGTATGAGCCTTTGGTAAAATAAATTTTAGCTATCATCCGTTCTGTGCGCATTAAATCTATTACAAATCCGTGCGCACACAACATTATTAATAAGATTTGCTTAATTTTTTTTTAATGTTATATATTGTACAATACGAAATTTGCTAAACTGGGCCATGTGTTCGTATACATTTTATGTATAAATTCTATTTCAAAAGCAAAAAGCGTCTGCTAATTTTCCATATTGTTCCCTGTATAATATAATTTTCTATATATAAGCCAATTCTTTAAGTTGTCGACAAATAATTCAAGTGAATGGCGTTGCATATGCAATCTTGATATGTTTAATGTACGCTAAAAAGAATATAATTAAATTGTCTAATACGATGTGTTGAAGTAGAAATGCTTAAACAGGCTTCCTTTTAATGAAAGCGTTAAGCAATAAGGGACAAATCAACATATTTTAAAATGCTAGTTCACTCATATAACATGAGTATGCTTTTCACGTATTTGAGGAAAAGAAAAGGTAATATTAGCAATTTTTCATATCATATATTCGAGTACTATATGTATATGTATTCATTGTCATATAGTTGAGTCCATGTAGTTCAATAATACAGCTACCAATAGCTAAATATAGGAATTTTTTCTAAAATATAAACTACTAAAAGAAAACAATAATTTGCCTGAAGAGAAATTTATTAAAGATCGTTTCTCTTTTTATGATTCTTTTCATGAGCCTTTCACCCTATACTAATGGCCACTTACAAACTGAGATTGCGAGAACTAAAGTCATATGATCCGCTGAGAAAGGAAGAGTCGGTGGATATATGCGCAAGGATCGATGGAGGGAAGCGTGGAGATCAACAGCGCCCAACTTCCAGATCTGTCCCACAAACCGCACGAGACGGTAGACAGCTCTTATCCCTCGTTCCGGACATCAAACGAGCAGGACATTGGTTACAAGACCTGAGATTGCCATCTGGAAATTTCACTTCTCAAAATAGTATTTGGTTTAGATGTTTCTCGCCTTATATGAGAAATGGAATCCTGAGAAAAATTTTAAACTTATATTTCGAAATTCTATCTGAAAAAAAAAATCATCCTAGAATAAACTTTTAGGTAAGCAATTTTTTGTATGTAGATATTGTATAGTAAGTAGTCTTTGCATGAGTAGAAAATTTGGAAAATTGTTTTGAAATTAACTGACAGAAATTGCTTAAATTTTTCGGGTAGTTATTTTAGTAACTTCATAATAATATCGCTTCAATGAAATAACGGCAAACTGTTGATTTATCGATCACTAGAGTTTGCGTGATTGTTACATTTATACCAAGATTGTTGTTTCAGTGAAAGAACACAAAGCATTACTTTTGTTCAGCTTCTACATTTTTTTTACCTCTACGTCTCGATATGCTGCTAAAATTGATTTGGGAATACTGTGAGAGTATAGTGGAAACATCATTATGTTTCGTATGTTTCCTAACATGCAAATGCTCATTCACCAACTAATACTTCACATGAAAATATTTCCAATATAGTCATAAAAATTAATATATTATTTTATTAATTCAGAAGTCAAACAACAAAAATCAGCGTTATATTAGCAAATTTTCACAGGACTAGTTTCGATGGTTTGTTGTTTGACTTCTAAAGTAATACTTGCTCGGCGTATTATTTTATATTAAATATTATATTATTGTTATGACATAAATTTTTGTGCATGCTTTTTTTTTTTTTTTTTTTTTTTTTTTTTTTTGTTGTTGATGAATTTTTGCAAAGTTTTTGATTAGAAACATAATCAAATCGAAATAAATATAGGAAAAATAACTTTCAATATAATTATTTTAGATCCTTGATGAATTCAGCAAATGTTTCTGATTAGAAACAAAATAAAATCGAAAAAATATATGAAAATAACTTTAAATATAATTATTTTTGATAATATAAAGCAAAAATCAGAGCTTGAACTGCAATATCAGTTTAATGCATAGCATTAACAATTTTCTTTCTTCTTTAATTTAATTAAACTAAATACGGTAAATGAGGCATTGAAACAGTTCAGTTGCAGTAAGATTCTTCAATGAACTGAGCGCTTAAAAGAACTAGTAAGAACTGCTTTAACATATCTTTAATGGTTTCCGCTAAGATGCTATGCTTGTTACGCTAGCACCTTTTACACATAAAACTACATAAATTATTCGCGAATTATGTAAATATTGCTGCAAATAATTTCCTCCTGTTTTTCGGTGCAAAAGGAAAATGACATTTTGCACTAACGTTAAAGCCCCATTTTTATTTAAACTTCAGTATGGGAGCAATTGTCTTCCATGTCCCGAATTTCAATCATGCTGTACCGAATATGATAAAACTAAAAAATTCTAATTCTTATAAATAATTAATTATTTTAACTATGAAAAATATATAGAATTTTAAAAATAAAATTTTTATGTATTCGGTCGAAACAGATTTTGCATGTTGTTTACATTGGGTTCAAATAAAAAATAGTAACATATTTAAAATATTTCGTTAAAATTTGCTTCTGTTTTTAAATATGATCTATCAGTTAATGCAACATTAAAGAATAAATCGCATACTCAAATGATACATAATTCTTCTAAGAAACGATTATACTTACGTTTAAAAAACAATTTATTTTCTTTATCTAAAGACTATTTTTTTCAGAAGATATTTAACTAAATGTAGAAGCATTTAAAAACTGATATCAACTGAGAATAATTAGGATGTTAAATTTAAATATTATACATTTTAACGTATGTTTAAATAAAGGTTTCATTTAATATTTTATTACTAATAATTAATATATAAAGTTTAATATGTGATGCATCCAAAGATTTAATTTAGTCATGATGTAATAATATGACTTTTCGTAAAAGACGCATGATGTAATAATTGCTTTAGGTTTTATGATTACACGGGAGTTACACATACTGAGCCTCCAATGTTAACAGTTGTGCTGATTGGCATGATCAAAACGTTATAATTATTAATTTTGAATGTATTCAGTTTGGAATTTTATAAACATCCTCGATGAGGGCAGCCTTTTCAGATATATAACGTCTTGAAGCTTATTAGCGCAGAGGGGTATTAGTCTCGAAACATGATTTTGCGTTGTCTCACTTTAATGCTTTGTTTCACTTTTTTTTTGCGTTGTCTCACTTTAATGCTTTGTTCCAAATGGCAACAGATTCATTCGAAATCTGTTGCCATTTGGAAAAAATGAGATATTTTTCATTCATATTTAATCTGCCTATTATTAATGAACAAATTAAACTATTTAAAAGCAATACATACAAATTTTAAATTTTTAAACTTTTATATCTGAATAATTTAAATAAAAATGCATTAAATTTATGATATGTCTAATTTGAAACATTAAGTATTTTTGTAGAATTGTATCTCATATTTTTTCCATTTTAAGTACAAACAAAAGGTACATAATTTTACCCTGTAAGTCTAAATGCATAGTCATCTAATATTCTATAAATTGTTTCCCTATTCCACTAGGCCATCTCTATCGATAATCCCTACTGATAAACCATATTAAACGTTAAAGAGCCTCGTTACAATCTTAACTCTTTCAGAATTTTTGGCTTTCGTTTCAAATATATTACTTTAACGTCGGTAATCATGAACTAAATAATTAAAAATTAAATGGTTCATGAGTTTGAGATATAATATGTATATAAACAATGGTTGAGCTTTTGCATATCTTTATTGCTAACCACATTATTACTTTCGTCCCTGATGGTTAATAATTCTTCCGGATTTATTTTTCAACTGATGTTTCCCTTTGCAATAAATTTTTATTGTCGAAAATCAATGGCTTCTGCAAAAAGTTTGTTGGTTGTACGAATTTGCCATATACTCGCAATAACAGTTTTGTCAAATTTATGTATTTAAAAGTAAATTTTTAGTTTAGTTTCAGAAAGTTTAGACTTTGGATTTTATCGCTTAAAAACAAATTATTGGCATACATGAAAGGAGGACAAAAACTGTAATTACGTATTATGAAAATTCGAAACCAAATGTAGTGATTTAATTTAATCCTTAAATGCATGTAGTTACCATTTGGCAACATACTCATATTTAGTCATGTAAATAAAATCAAAAAACAAGTTTTAGCTTACTGCATAGTGTAATCAAATCGATACACACTGTTTACATATATAGGTTTGAAAGTTTCAGGTAGTGGCACCACTAAAGGTGTAACGATCATTATTGTGAGTTGATGTGTAGGCTGTCGATATCATTTGTGTAAAGGAATTTTTTGATTTTGTGTTTGTTATTGTTTTGATGTATTCCAAGTCTTAAAATTTTTTGAACAAAGTAATAGTATAAAAGTATGTATTATTGCATAAAATTGTTTTTATATATTTTGCCTAATTTAATCATTTAGCAAAAACAATATTTTTTTTTTTTTTTTTTAAAAATTAGAATAAAGCTTAGTTCAGATTTTTTTTTTTTTTTTTTTTTTTTTTAGTATTTTTTCTATTTTATTTCATATCAATACTAATGCATTTTTGACTTTAAAATTCATGCTGTTAAAGGTTAATGTAATATTATTAGGTTCTAACCAGTGTATTTTATATATTACTGAATTTTAAGAAGTGTATTTTAATTGCAGTAACAGAGATGAAAGAAAAGTGAGGTTACAAAGAAGTCTTTTGAAGTCTATCAGTGAAAAGAAATTTCCATAATTGCCCTTTATATCCAGAACGATTCATCCCATTCCGAACAGAATTAACTAAATCTTGGTAATATCTAAGTAATTACGAATTATCCAAAATGGGAAATATCCAAGAGAAGGAAATCGATCTTCTGGAAGCATACATAGAACTGCAAGACAGTGCACTTAAGGGTAATTTATCTCAATGTGAGGAAATGTTCAGAATGATCTTGAGAGAAAACAATACTTCATCAAAGACCGATGACCTCAATTATACAGTTTATTCTAAGTGTCTTAATAATACTATTCCGAGTGGATTGTTCAACCAGCCGTATATTCTACCTTGGTATCAGCAACTGTCGTGGACTTTAGTGTTTGCTTTCATGATACTGGTGGCAATTGTGGGAAATCTGATCGTCATATGGATAATAGTAGCCCATCGTCGAATGAGAACTGTTACCAATCTATTCCTTTTAAATTTAGCTATTGCTGATTTCTTACTGGCAGGTGGAAATGCTGCCTTTAATTTTGTCTTCATGCTAAACAGCCACTGGCCCTTTGGGGGTACATTTTGTGTGATAAGCAATTTTTTAGCCAATTTGACAGTGTCAACTTCTGTTTTCACGATTTTGGCTATGAGCTTGGACAGGTAAGTGGTTGGTTTTTAGCTTGTGGCATACTTTATTTTTTTTTTTTTTTTTTTTCATATTTAAAAGCAGTCAACACACTCTTTTTGCTTAGTTCCAGCCAATTTCAGAACTTATACAATCATTACTTTATGCATTTTGTTTAAGTATAAAATCAATTGTTTTATGTTTTAAAAATAATTCCTTTATTTTTCATTCAATGCGAAAAGTTTTAAATTTTATTCCTAATATTAATATTGCTCTCTGCTTTTTTTATATATAGTTTTTTTTTGTTTGAGAATTGCTTTTCACTTTAACATGTTTGTAGAATATTTTTAAGATCTAAAAGAAACTCGCATTATAAATTCATTTCTTTAATCACAGCATTTTGAATAATTTAGTAATCAGAAGAGTGTATCATTCTGTTTGTAAGATCATGATTGGATATCAGCTTCATACACATTTGTTCAGTTATATCTTGTGTACAGCACTGAGGACAGATAGTTTCTTGTTTTTCTAAAAGCTATACAGCTCTGATATACGTAGGATTTCCTATTATTTGAAATACTCACTGGATTTCAATCGCTTTAAATATTTGTTTTAATGAATTTTGTATATTTTAATGAATATTTTTTATAGAAAATTCTGCTGAAGCATGTTTTCAGACTTGCAATTTCTTAATCGGTTGTCTGACTATTTTTTTAATCTTTTTTTATTTCGGCCAGCTTGTGACCAAGCGGATAAAAATACCGAACACAAGTAGTAATGGCCGCGTCCAGATTCCTTTTTAACGAGCTAATTGTCTAGGTTTAACGATTCGTAATTAACCTAATTAATTATTTCTTGATCATCTTAAGAGGTCTGCTACCCCGTATAGACCGGCAGCGATAGATGTGCTACTTTTTTATTTAAGCCGGATTCATAATAGTGTAAAACGCTTGAGAAATGTTTTTTGACAAATAGCATATCAAAGCACTAAAAGTCACATTTTGTGAAAACTGCTTATATTTTTCCCCTCATATCGAAAACGCCTGTTACAGGTACATTTAAGAACTGTTCATTTCAATTCTGAGGAATTCAATTAAGAAATTGTTCATTTCAATTAAGAAACGTAAAAGGATAACGCTAACTCTTATTAATCTTAAGTCATTCGTACGAATGATCTGGACATACTCGCACCTCTTTTAAGTCATTTCATTCACTAGTTCAGTTCCTTGCATCTGTGTATGCAATTTTTGGCGGTAATGAATTTGAGCAGATAGAAAGGCAAAAGAAAAAGTAACGTTTACATTTTTCTAGCATTTTTTTGTCTGATTAGTTTTAATTTAAACTGAATATATATATATATATATATAAAGAGAGAGAGAGAGAGAGATACGTAGATAGATTGATATGTATGTGTGTGGGTGTGGGTGTAAGATATAAAATATGACAGAAAATTACAACCACAATTACTAAATTCAGCAGCAGTTCTTTTAATGCCTAATTTTATTTGCCTACGTTCTTCTTGAAAGAGAATATGCAAGATATAAAATATGAACGAAAATTACTAACAAAATTACTACCTTTAGTAATAGTTCTTTTAGTTCATGTTTTTAATTTGGTTACGACTCCTTCTTGACTTTGAATATAAAATGCATCATTTGAAAATTAATCCTTAAATATTAGTTGACTTGTGTCGAATGGAAAGAGAGTGACAGCGCGCTTTTACTTTGTATCAGATAAAAAAATGTCTGGAACAACAAAAGGAAAACATGAAGAATCAAGATGGTAGAATGAGATCTTTCACTTAGCCGCCATCAGTCGGCGAAGAAAGAAGAAATGAATGAAAATAATGTGAAAAAAAGCAATGTGAAAAAAAGTTGGATCAGTAAAGTAGTAGGTACTTCAAATAATTAACAAAATGTTAGGTAGAATATCCGAAGGATATTTGTGTTTTGCTCTAGGAAAAGGTGAGCATCGCAAACAGCTGATAGAGCTATTTGGATGTAATAGTACACAAAGGAAAAAATTTGTTGCACGTTTTTTGATATAATTTTGTGTAGTATCAATTTGAAGATCTCTATGTAATCATGCCTGCAATGCGATGAAATTGCACCCAATCACGTTAAAGAAATAATTTACTGTACATCTGGTTCTTTGGCTGTTTTCGTAACCTTTTTTTCTATTTCGCTCGTTGTTGATTAGACGTACCGTTTAGCCTACGCTAGCTATTGTCCATTTGCTTAAACATTCTAGGGTGCATGGCGCACGTATAATAATGATGTGCAATGAAAATGAATATTTGTTCTAAGAATGAAGTTATCAAGGATAAAGTTATGTATTCAAGACACGGATATGTCTATCTTCAAGTTAAATCATTCATAAGTCATTCTTCTACCTATGCAGTAGAGCCTGCCCCAGTTATTACAATGCAAAAAAAAAAAAAAAAAAAAAAACTTTCTACTCCATTGCAGTTGTTTTCCAGTCATTCATGATGAAAACCAGAAAAAAAAAATTAATGTTAAGCAGCAGTTTTAGGGTTGCCATAAGTAATGGCAAGATAAGGCAGGGTTGCCACCTTTGGCGAGAAATCGCCCATTTGGCGACAAAACTGGCCATATGCCATGGACGAATGGGAATTTTCTGGAAGGAATTCTTACCGGTTTAGCCAAGAATGTTCTCGAACACCAGTCAAAAGCTATATAAACCCCTGCTGGTACGCGGAGAGTTAGTATCGAAAGTGTGCCTCGTTTAGAGTGCGAGATAATTAGTCAGTCCATACGGAGTCGATCCAGTTGACAGCCGGGCAGCGAGTGCCAAGTGGGTCCTCGAGTGCATCGAAGAATCTCTTAGTGTATCGCGGTTAATGCTTCGTCGAGAGAGCGCGTTGAGCTCTGAACCGAAGAGTCAGGAGCTGTGCTCTGCGTATCGTCGAGTGCATCGCGAGTTGTAGAGTGTCTAGGGTACGTGAAGTTCCGAGAACGACTAAGCAGAGTCGGGAGCTGTACTCTGGTGCTTTGCAGTGAAGCTGTCTCCACCCTGATAGCTTGATAACCTGAAAGCTGTGTTGCTGATCGTGTCAGCATGTTTCTAACAGTTCGACGACTGTGAACGAGATTTTGGAGTTGTCCGGATTCATACCGGCCAATAAAGTGTGTTTCGATACTTCATCAAGTGTCGTTGCTATTCACTCCAAATCTACAAGCCCCGTACGTACGTGAAGGAAGAAAATAACATAACAACTGGTGTCAAAAAAGTGGTGTTGGTATTACATACGCACACATATGTGTGTAAACTGGAATTGCTTAGAAATTTGAAGGTTTTGCGTAATATGAATTTTAAAATTCAGCTCAACTGCTTGATTGTGACAAAATATTGATGAAATAATCAAATAAATAATTTTTAGTTATAATTTAAAATTATTAGCTACTTATTCTCTTTTCATTTACCAATTCTTTTCAATGTAGAAGAAGGTAAGAATAAGATTTTTAGAGTTACCAATGTTGTATAAAAGTATTATATTGAGATTAATTTTATGATATACTGTGATAGAAAGATCAATATTGTTAAGGAATTATGGCTTTGTTATTCTAGAGTTACGATTATTACGACTTTAAAAAATTGCTCCTTCCTTTAATATAGAAGCTTTCATCTATTTTCCGCATGAATGTTATTTATAACTCTTCGGAAATTCAGGCGGTTATAAAAAGCTAAATTTACTAGGATTTCGCATTCAATCTCTTGCACCGGAAAACTGTCTTTTAGCTTATCTGATTTTCCGTAATAGCGAAAAAAATGCTAGAATTCCATGACGATTGTCTGAACGAAAGCCGATTTTCTATCTCATTCTATTCACTGAGCTAGGAATTTCTGACGATATTTTTTTTCTTGTTTGTTTTTTTCTTTTATATATGTATACTAAATAATATTGATTTAGTAAATAAATTATTATTAATTTACTTTGCAGCAAATGCGCAAGTAGTAGAATAACTTGTTTTCGCACTAATTGAATTTAAGATCATACAACTTTTGATATATATATATGTGTGTGTGTGTGTGTGCGCGCGTGTGTGTGTGTATTTGTATGTGTGTGTTTTCTCAATATCTACTTATGTTTATTTTGAGAGAAATCTGATGCACGCTTAAGAAAAAAAAATCACTTAGGCTTTCATTCTGCAGCTTAAGAAAGAAATTTATTTGCATTAAATTTAAAAATGCGATGTTACAAATCAATTATACGTTTCATAAAATCTTAGTTCAATTAATAAAGTATTTTTTAAATAAATATAATATCAACTAAACTTGCCATAATAATTTAATACAGTTTTATTAAAAGTTAAAAGAACAATAATCGGAGTTTTTCAGAAATTACAGTACTAGTTTCGAAGTTTTTTTTTACAGAACCTGCTTCCTCACCTGCAAGAGTGAAAATGACAAAAGACAAGCTTGTGCTGATGTTAGAACAAGCTTTTCTTTTGAATTAGCTTATCCACATTTAATAATTATATAAATAAAGAATAACAACCATAAAGGGAAATTCCTCTTACATAATAACGTGTCCTTTTACATAATAATTGCACGTTTTTATTGAGCTATCAGGCTGCCGATCACCACTATCGAGTGTTTTTACTCCGAATACTCGGTAGTGGTGTTGGTATTACATACAAGCAGTATTAAAATGTTATTGCGTGTGCCTGATAAACTGCCATTACGATTTTTCAAAAAATTAATCCTTTTTAATTACATTTATAAATACGCAACTTTCGGGGAAAATCTGGGTGGAAAACAAAACTGAATAAGGCAACGAATTAGTGTGAGATAAATAATTAAACAAAAAATTTAAAATGAATTTGAAGAAATTTATCAGAGATAAGAAATTTAGCACGGTAAAAATTCAGAACGTGTTGAAACTAAGTAATACCAAATTGTATTATAATTTCATTAACGATCTACGCAATTTTCAAGAACCTAAGGTATGTTTTCTTGCAAAGAGTATATATTACAGAAACCTACGTAAAAACTAGATAAACGGTCTCCATTA